AATTCATTAATAAATTTTCAGCATCGGAGAAAATCCTTTGACTCTTTAAAATTGGGCTTTGTAGGACGAATAGGAGTTCACTGGAGATACAAGGAAGGCAACAACCTGTGACATGGCAGGGAAACTTGATGCAGTCATGCTCAGGGTACCTTATCACTAGAATGTACATGCACCAGAATGAGTGGAGAAGAGGCTGGGAAAAAGAGTTGAGACCAGACCATAGGATGTCATGCTGCCTCGTTAAGGAGCTTGGATTCGCATGAATGCTCATATCCTCCTCGGAGCCACAATTGTCTTGGAAGGACACATCCCAAGCTCTTTCAATAGGACATGGTGCTGTGAAGTTAATGGCCTACACTGTAGCCCTCATCTCAGCATGTTTCTAAACCTTCCAGAGCCCACTTATCTCGGTACCATAAGCCCTCTGTGTGGACCTCCAATTGGGGCTGCAATTGAGGGGAGTTGTTCAGGTGCATTTGAGGTTGGCAAGGGAACTGGCTCCCATTTGTGAAATGTCCAATTGGGGCTGAACAATGGGGATGGAAATTATTGTGTAGCAGCTGCTCGTTGGTGCTCCTGGGAACTGGCTCTCACACTGTTGCCGGGCAGTGCTCTGCAGCTCCAATTAGCCTACTGTGTTCTTTTAGTGAATTTAAAGCCAAAGTAATCAGTGGACCTTCATTTTCATTGGTATTTTCCTAGTAATTAAAAAATTTGAAAGTTCATTTACACTTAAGAAATGTCACCAGCACAGCCTAGAGCACATAGCATACCTTACTTGTGGAAAAATTGTGGTCAGGATGAGCCACATGTCACAAAGGAGCCCTTCTTTCTCCGTGTGGCCAATGCACACGCCCTCACCATCCCCTCTGTGCTTGGTTTCATGGGTTCTCAGGGCAGAATCACACCATCCCTCGAGGCCATACTCGGTCTGCGCAGACTCAGAAACTGCTGCCTGTAAACAAAGACCAGGTTCCTTGTCTCTTTCTGGGTCAGGCCTTGGGAGAGGATCATTTAAAGACGAATTTGTCCTTTTCCTTCTATCTCCCGCTCATCCACTTCTAACAACAAACATTCAAGCCCTACTCATACATAATAAAAATGGTACACTCACATCTGCTTCACCCCTGGACCCGTTAACTGGGCCCAAGCACCCAGGTCCTCTAACCCAGCTTCCAGGGGGGTGACCCAGGAAGGCTGCAGATTGTGCCAGACCAGGGCCTTAGGGGGCCCTGGGGTTTTAGGGAGATGCCCCCGCAGACACTTCAGGGCACCTCTTCCCACACTGCAGCCAGAGCACCTGTTTTATCTATAACAGCATCTGGGCAAGAGTACTTTTAACAAAATGTTGAAACATGGCACCTCCTCAGGAAGCCACTGCCCAGCTCCCTGAATCCCTAGAGCCTGCCTGGTCCTCAGAGTCTGTGCCTGGTCTTCTTGGTAGATCTCATCACAGATGTCCCTACTGACCACCTCATCCCCCTCCACTGGGGACTCCCCTCCAGCATCCTGAGCCTCGGCATTCCTAGGGTGTCCAGCTTTGCCCACTCTTGACCGTGATATCCCCCTGGTTTCTCTACCCTAGCGCCTGGTCTTACTGAGTCCCACCCCTACTTCACGAGAAAAGTA